GCTGTATTTTTGGGGGGCGGGGCTCTGGAGGAGTGCAAAGAAAAGAGGGAGGGGCTATGGAGTGCAGGGAGGTTGCGGGCACGGGACGGCCGGGTAGTGCAAAGGATGGAGGCCTTCTGAAATGGTATCCAACTGAGCTACACGGGCGGCTTTGATTGGACGAGATCGGAGAGGTAGAGCAAAAGAAAGTACGGAAAATAAAATCGCAGGTTCCCTTTAAAAGCTAAAACGAACCCTTCAGCTGACACGGGGGGAACCCGCCAGTCTTCTCCTTCAAGGAGATCCACAATTAGGTATCCACGGCTTTCCTGGGGGAAATGCTGCACTCCCAGAAGTGCTGCTCACAGATCATTAGGCCTCTGAGCTTGGTCATGTGACCTCTGCCATAGGAGATGATCAGAAGTCAGCAGAGATCACATGACCAAGTGGCAGCATTGAAGACAGCCAGGAAAGGTTCGTATTTCTACCCTTCAGTCCATCCCAGACAATGTCAAGTATGGTCACATCTGAGTGCAGGTCTGCTCTAATGCTAAATAATTACCTGGCAGGGGAGTGAGCCTGGAAATGGCTGCTGTGAGGGGGCGGAGCTGGGAACTGGGGTCTGCACTGGTGTCTTCACTCATTCCCACCAATGCTGGATGAACTTTGGATGCGGTCTGCTGTTTTGGGTGCTCATTAAGTGACCTACACCCCCACCTAGCACAGATTTTAGGTGCTGATCAGTGACCTGCACCCCAACCCAGCACCAATTTTAGGTGCTGATCAGTGACCTGCACCCCCACCCAGCACCGATTTTAGGTGCTGATCAGTGACCTGCACCCCCACCTAGCACAGATTTTAGGTGCTGATCAGTGACCTGCACCCCAACCCAGCACCAATTTTAGGTGCTGATCAGTGACCTGCACCCCCACCCAGCACCGATTTTAGGTGCTGATCAGTGACCTGCACCCCAACACCAATTTTAGGTGCATGCAAGTGACCTGCACCCCCACCCAGCACCAATTTTAGGTGCATGTCAGTGACCTGCACCCCCACCTAGCACAGATTTTAGCTGCCTCTCAGTGACCTGCACCCCCACCTGCCATTGAAAGGCAATAGATTGCTAGATGACAGTGATGACACCCCCTTTAAGCCAACGCTCACACAAAAATGCCTATCCAAAATCCCTTTCAGAGTTTTTGGTGGAACAGGGAAGCATTTTTTCCCACATCTACAGCTATCCAAGACCCTAAAAGAGGTCTGACTCCATCTCCTGCAATGGCTGTAATCGGCCGAGCTTGACCTTTCAATCGAGTTACTGTTGTCACACGGTGGCAAGTGAATTCTTCATGTGGACTTGGTGAGACCGCGTGGTATTTCTATGGAGTGGGACTACTCTCCAAAAAATGGTGACGTCCTCACGTCCTCCATGACGTATTCTGGCGGCTGAATATATGAAATCCCGCCATTTTAAGTCTTTACATGGATCACGCTCAATCAAAACTGCCGGTGTAGCTTAGTCTTGTGTGGTGTGAGGGTCTATAGCCAATCAGGTGGGCCCTCACCAAAAATTGGTAGAACATGAGCTGGCCAACCGATGCATTCCAATCCAACATGGGCACGGCCTCGCCTCACCAATATCCTTCATGGATTAAGGAGGGGGCAGATCCAATAACTTTCGAAAGCCAGTCCGTAAACCCAGTAGTCATAAAGTGTGACTTGCTTTCTACCTGAGTCAGTGCGAGTAAAGTGAACTGCGCGTTTTTCTTCAAGGCGCCACTGTTTTGCCATCGGGGTACCTGTGGCTTTCCGTAAGGAGAGGAGTGCCCCCCCCCCACCTCCAGACCCCTTTACCCTAGAGTCCTGCATCCGTATATGTAAACAGGACACTCGTAGTCCGAACTCTGACAAATAAGACGTACGTGTTGACCGGCAAGTCATAGCTGTCGGAAGTAAAGTGTGTTCAAGACAAAAAAAAAAATAACACAAAATAATTAAAAAGCACCACGAAAATTATACAAACAGGGGAGGGAAAAAAATGGCTGCCGCGTCTTGTTCTGTTGTCAGTGCATCAAACCCCACCTACAAAGCCGGAAAATGGTAAGCGAGTCACGACCGATTTTGAAGATGAGGTCGGTCCAGGAAAAACGAAATCAGCCACAAAGTGCTCAGCAGAGACTCACACCGCCTGAGGGCAGCCATGTTCCGCGTGGGTTAAAAGCTACGCGACCGACAGAAGCGATGCCGCCAAAAGCTGTGAACCCACAGTCACCGCGCACGATGCAGCTCGCAGGTAAGAACTACACGGAGTCGTAAAAAGTTTCCTGAATCACCCAAAAAGGAGAAAAAAAGTAGCAAAGTGCTCGACTGGGAATGGAGAAGACGGTTGCGGTACGGTCACAAGAAAATGCGTAGGAAATGACAAAAACAAAGATGGCGACTTCAAAATGGAATGTTCTGAAATGAGGTGGACCAAAAACGGAGAGAGTGGTTCGTTGACTGGGACGGAGGGCGTAAAGTGAGATCCGAAGCGAGAGTTCTGGTTGAGGATTGAGCCGGTTGTGCGCCTGAGTTGTGTGTAGTGAAGGTATTTGTTAGTTTCTGTGCAAAAAAACACCTCTGTAAGAACGGACGTGCGAGGAGAAGAGGTCACGTGGTCAAGGAGAGGGAAGAGAAAGGGGGGGGCAGCTGAGTTTACCTGAAAAAAAGGCGATCTATAGCAGCAATAAGCAAATGTTAGTGTGTTAACATTAATCAGCAGCCCCGATGACAGATGGAAAGAGGATGAAGGAGGTATTTCAGTCGTTGCTTAGCCCGTAGTATGACGTCACCTGCGTGAGTGTGGAATGGTATGGTCCAAAAAGGGTGGTGGAAGGTCTCAGAGCTAGGAAGGGGGGGGGGGGGGGGGAGGAGACAGGGCAGCAATAAGTGCCCCCACCTTGCTCCTAGAGGAGTGCTCACGATGGAAATGGTGGAATGCCGAAGTGGACCGCGAAAGAATGGCGTAGTGGAATGGATCCAGCCAAAGCCAAAAACGGCATGGATGCTGGGAAGAGATGGAATGACCGTTGGATGGAATAGTTCTTCAAGGTGTACCTGTCACCTTTTACAGAGCGGAGGCCGCTTTGCAGACGGAGGCCACGTATTGTTCAGGAATGACGCCTACCCCCCTACAAAAACGGCTTCGCTCTGGCTAGTTGATGGGTCCACTTACACACATACAAACACGAATATATTGTACAAATGAAACATAAACAAAAAATTCAGAAAAATAAATTAATAAAAGAAGAAATCCTTATCTCAATAAATATGTGATTGACGTCCGTCCCGCCGAAGGGCGGAGCTCCTTCTATCAGTAGAGAGCGTTAAGCGCAGGGCCAGCGTCCTTCCGATTGCCCTGCGGGATAAAGTATGGCTCCTGCTCAGTGAGCAAGTTCAGTGTCTGCGACTGTCTGGGGATAGGGGCGGAATGGACCTCGCTGTCTTCTCTTAGTCTGTAGAGCGAGAGGTCGAGGCTGAAGGTCCGGGCCCGAGGGTTCTGGTCAATTCTGCTGCAATATTAAATTCTCCAGTTCATCGGCTGAGCGCAGAAGGAAGGCGGCCGACTCCCGGTACCCGGCGATCAGCTGTCGCACCGCTCCGATCTCGGTGGGGCTGAGCTGGGCGCACGGCATTGCCCGGTTGGTGGAGTTGGAGCTGCCAGAAGCTAAAGACTTCATGCTGAGATCAGTTGGACCTGTTTTAAGGGACAGAACAATGTCAAAGCTGGACTCATCGCTGAGCAATTATCAGCTATGGAAAGATAAAACAGAAATGGTATACAATGCACAATATAAAGTACACACATATAGTACACACATACATTCTATATTCTGAGGTAGAGGGATAAGGGCAAGCGCAGAGGTTTTATATTATAATCGTATAATAATGTGAATCTGATTCTGTACCTAGTTCCTCTGGATTACTTCACCTGGGCGGAGCTTACCATTGCAGTGGTTTCCAGTTTGCAGTGAGGTGGGGGGCGCTAGGTTGCCTCCAATGGACCCGTAACCGCGATAAGTGTAGTGGAGACTTCCGTTCACATAGACGGGATCCTGGCTGGGCGCCGGCAGAGTGCAGTTCGACTGTGAGAGGGCGGAAGTCTTCTCTAAAGAAACATTCTCTTCCTGGGGGAGATACAAAGGCACAATGTGACCAGACGCCAGATTGACCAGGCCAGTATAGCCATTTTCAGTTGCCATATAGGGTGCTGTTTAAGGTGAAACTGCACACAAAAGAATGAGAGGGAGAGAAGGGGAGTAAGAGGTTAGAGACAGAGAAGAGGAAAGAGAGAGAGAGAGAGAGAGAGAGAGAGAGAGAGAGAGAGAGAGAGAGAGAGAGAGAGAGAGAGAGAGAGAGAGAGAGAGAGAGAGAGAGAGAGAGAGAGAGAGAGAGAGAGAGAGAGAGAGAGAGAGAGAGAGAGAGAGAGAGAGAGAGAGAGAGAGAGAGAGAGAGAGAGAGAGAGAGAGAGAGAGAGAGAGAGAGAGAGAGAGAGAGAGAGAGAGAGAGAGAGAGAGAGAGAGAGAGAGAGAGAGAGAGAGAGAGAGAGAGAGAGAGAGAGAGAGAGAGAGAGAGAGAGAGAGAGAGAGAGAGAGAGAGAGAGAGAGAGAGAGAGAGAGAGAGAGAGAGAGAGAGAGAGAGAGAGAGAGAGAGAGAGAGAGAGAGAGAGAGAGAGAGAGAGAGAGAGAGAGAGAGAGAGAGAGAGAGAGAGAGAGAGAGAGAGAGAGAGAGAGAGAGAGAGAGAGAGAGAAAGAAAGAGAGAGTAAGAAAGAGAGAGAAAGAAAGAGAGAGAAAGAAAGAGAGAGTAAGAAAGAGAGAGAAAGAAAGAGCGAAAGAAAGAAAGGAGATGATACATAGAAGAGAGGGATATACATATAAAGGAGTGGTCAGTAAAGAGATGAAGAAGTGTCCGTGTGACTTCAGCAGTCACTTTCCTTGTGCAGGTTCCAGAACAGAACTATTTGTGGTCACTGATACACCAATCCACACTGAGACACTCTTTTTCGGAATGCTCCCAGGGACACAGGGCGGTACATTACCTGAGCAGTCTGATAAACTTCTAGTCTCATCCTTTTGGCGGCTTTTCTTGATTCGCTCTCGCAGGCTGCGGCAAGAATGTTCTCCGCCATGGCCGAGGTTAGATGAGGCGGAGTCGGCCTGGCCTGAAAACACAAACAGACAAGTGAGCGACGTCACATACAGAAGAGACAGAACCTATGTACCGCTACACATTAACGTAAACTGGCCCTGTGATTAGCAACAACGCCCTGTGGTCATGGTTTCAATTCCCGCCAGGAAACACAGATTTGATATGTTTTCCAATTAAACTGACTTCTATATAACCGTGGTAGGGGCCTTAGATTGCAAGCTCCTTTGAGGCATTATCTTGCAGTGCTCCATATTATATGACGACTTTAACATTGTACCTGTCATTTCTCCTATGTGTATTTATACGGCTGGGCACTAATCACCTCCCTGCACCCATTTTTTTAAAATGTACTGAATACTTATCCAGCAATCTTCTTGCTCTTCTAGTTCAGAGGTGGGTGGTCCTCACTGCTCCATAGAACTTTGCTCATATGTGTCAGTGACTTTCTATGTGACCGTAGCATGAGTCTATGTCAGTGTTATGACGCTCCCCCAAGGGGTGTCTCCATTACAGCCTGGGCTCAGAAGAAGCAAACTGAATGGCGCTGGCCATTTAACATGACGGCGGAGCACCACCTAGTGGTGCAGATGGTGTTTTGCACTGGACAGTACAGCCGAAGCTGATTGTAAAACATGTTTATTCCAGGGGCTCTGCTCTAGGCCTCACATTTCTGGAAGTGTCAATGCACAATGACTAATTATCAGAACAATGAGGTCAAACATGATGCAAAGACAACCTGAGAATAGATCAGAACTAAGAGCGTGCTCCAGGGAAAGGTGGGGAGGCAAGAAAGACAAATAGTAATGACAGGAAGCCTGGAGGCTGCTACAAGACATGTACCTGCCACGAGGGTCAGAATTTGTACCCATCACATATATTATCACTGCGACGTGTCTAAATCCGTGTACAGACTACAGGACATACATGGTTAGGAGTCAGCTTCTCCACAGGCCGCACATGCATAACCAGTTATGGACTTTGGCCGTACTCCACATGCCCTAAATATCTACTATGCCCCGCTCCTTCTCCCTAACTGCAATTCTCCAACCACATTTAACGGACGCACATTTCAGCCCAGTGACGTCACAAGGGACGGTGCAGCTGGCACCGGGTGACACCATCAAAGGGGGTGACACCAAAATGACTTGCAGTAATTTTGGTATCACCCCCTGTGAAAAGTCAGACACTCGGTCATGGACTGAGAGCCTGACAGCTGCACACCTTATCCCGCCAGGTGAACATCCCCTCTGCTGGTGTCCATCACCGAGATGGCCGCCGGCAGTTTAGTGCGCGTGACACCATTACGTAATGACATCCCGGTGGCACATTTACCATTTTAAATTATGTCAGCCCAGTGATGTCACAAGGGGGGGTGCAGCTGGCACCGGGTGACACCATCAGAGGGGGTGACACCACAACTAATCAGAGTAATTTTGGTATCAAAACAAACGACAAACGCACTCAACAATTTGTTACCAGTTATACAGTAAGGTGCACACGAAATGGGCTTTGTTACCAGTTATACAGTAAGGTGCACACGAAATGGGCTACTGTAATTTTGGTATCACCCCCTGTGAAAAGTCAGACATTCGGTCATGGAGTGAGAGCCCGACAGCTGCACACCTTATCCCGCCGGGTAAACGTCTCCTCTGCCGGTGTCAATCACCAAGATGGCCACCGGCAGGTAAGTGCGCGTGACATCATTACGTAATGACGTCCCGGCCTGGGGACGCCCCTGTGTCACCCAGAATGTATTCTCTATCATAGGAGCAGATCTTGCTTCTCCAGTGTAGACGAACAATCGCAGAACATTGTCTCCGGTGTCAGATAACATTAGTCATTGCTGCATTGGAACTGCTCCGGTTTATTTATAGCAGATCAATGGGGTGACCTTTGATCTTCAAAAGATGTTAGTTAGAGCAACCGTGCAAGTTCAAAGAGGAAAAATAAAACAAACTGGGTTCCTACTCAACCCGAATCCCCTGAACCAGTGGTTGTCAACCTGTGTAACCTCAGGACCCACATTTGTCCTTGGTCATTAGGTCGCGACCCAAGTCGCACTGCAATGGAACACATGGCATTGCGGCACCGCGTTTTCCGATGTGGGCGACAGAACTGTAGGTGGGAGGTGCATTTGGGGTGCCATTCAAACGAATGGCAATGCAATGCGTGGGACTGTGCAATTAACGCACTGTACTAGTGTCAGACACACACAACCACAGACAATATCATACACTCACAGACATTTTCATGCACACATAGACTCCCCCCATCATTCCGCTCAAATCACCTCCATAGGACATGCAAGGGAGCCGTAAGCAATGCACTTATGGATGGAGCTCCCTCGTGGCCATAACCCCTGAGCACCCCACCTCAAGCCGACACTCGGCACCGGGCAGTATATTTTGAATGGCTGCTCGGCACGAGAACTGACAGTGCTGTGCTAGGGGGAGGCTGAGGAGCCTCTCACCTAGAAAAGTGGTGACGCACTGAACACGGGGTCACAACGCACCGGTTGAGAACCAAGGCCCTAAACACACAATCACTCCAGTCCATAATACAGACACACAGAGAATTGTACACCTGGTAACTCACACGGACCCTGAGAACATCCGGTTCACATCTCACCATCTCCAAGCCGTTCTTCTTCATGCGCCGGCAGGACTTCAGGTAGGTGCGGATGCGCTTTCTGGCGCGCTCCTGGAATTCTGGGAACTGGCGGCTGCACGACTCAATGATGGCCTGTATCTTTTCCTTGGGCTGCTTAGAGATGGGAACCATGCGGTCCAGATTCTCGTCCACGAAAAGACGCACGAACATCTGTTGTTAGTAGACAGAAAAACTCCAATAATTAGGTTAGCTGACACAACCGAGCATTCCACTATTACAGGAAGAACTCCCCCGGGTGCTACATGTTTCTGTAATGGCCACATAACATTAATGCTTTTTTACAACAATAACAAGCCTCCGAGAAAAATAGGTTTTTTTGTTTTCTTGGAGGCCACTGAGGGATACAGGAAGGTTTTAGCCTCCAGGTTATACTGCCGCCTGCAGGAGGAAAGACCAGCACAGGATAATCCCTCCCACTACCAGCATGGCTTTGTACCAAAACACTACCGGGAGCATGATCATAAAAGCAGAGGGGGGGGG